TTCCTTCCTTCCTTCCTTCCTTCCTTCTTCCTTCCTTCCTTCCTCCCTCCTTCCCTCCCTTCTTTTCCTTCCTTCCCTTCCTTCGTCCTTCCCTTCCTTCCTCCTTCCCTTCCTTCCTCCCTCTCTCTCTCCCTTCCTCTCTCTCTCCCTCCCTCTATCCCTCTCTCCCTCCCTACTCCCTTCTCTCCTTCCCTGCTTCCTTTCTTCTCTACCCTGCCAGCACACAGAGGTGCTGGTCATCTCGACAGGAAATTACTCTCCTCATACAAACATATTATCCACCAGTTCCTCATTTCCCTAGCACTCAAGAGATTGGATAAGATCAACGCTTATCCCTCGGGCTTCTGCAAAACCTGAGGATATTCTAGTGCATGCAATCCACAGCCTCACATCTGTGCAAAATCTATACTTCCTGTGACTGCATGTGTCATTCCCCACTGTTCTCATGTATCATGCTTTCCTACAGCCCTGCCCATCCCCACAGGGTCTCTTCCTACTTCAGCATTTCCTTTTCAAACAGCTTGTTGCTGCAGTTGTCTGTGCACCCACTGAAGGCAGGTCCCTGAAAGGAGGTGTTTTTTCCCAATGGTTCCCTGCTGGTTCTTTGTGGCCATGCTGGCTCTCATGGGTAAGTGAACTCAACACACCTCTCACCTCCTGCATCATTTCCACAGCTGCTACCCCAACTGCAGGACCAACTGTGGACATTGCTCCATTCTCTGAGGCTTCCTGACAATGAACAAATGATCACAATTGTCCACACTCAGTGTTTTTTTTTTCCCCTCTCATGTGCATAAGATACAAACTGACCCAAAATGTCTTTTGCCTGTCACAGAGAGATGCAAGAGTCACCAATGGATCTGAAGAGCTGTCCTATCCTTCCTTGTGTTATGCAGCTTGCCTTGTTTCTTCTCTCCCTCTACTCTACTACTCCACTCTTGTCTCCTCTATGTGTTTCCATTTTGTCCCAGTTCATGCCCTGTTCTGCTTCGTGCTTAAAACAGGTGAGATCATCACCTCCACATCAAGACATATTTTTTCCCTGTCTCCTCAAGCCTTCTCTTTTTCCTTTTCAGGGTGGGCTCTGAAACAGTCCCCKGACACTGTCACACAACAAGGACAGACCATGAGTTTGAGCTGCTCTGAGAAGAAATCCTCCAGTACAGTGATGTCCTGGTACAAGCAGCCTTTGGGGAAGGATTCTAGACTCATCCTAGTTGTTTCTGCAGTTCAAGGCTCTAAAGCAACCATTGAGGAGGAATTCCAAAGCCGTTTCCAGAGCAGTGAGATCCAAGGAGACAGCCTGAACCTCTTCATAGATCAGGTCTCTCTCAATGACTCGGGCACATATTACTGTGCCGAGAGTGACTCACAGTGACTGCGTTGCTGAGGGAGCTGAGCACAAACCTCTGTCYGCACTGAAGGCKCCTGCCTTCCTCCTCATCCATGCTGCACTAGGMAGGACAGGCTCTTTCTACTTAGGWGCTCCACAGCTTCGTAGCCTTTGCTTCCCCTCTTTTCAGTCTCTCCAAGAGGGTTTGTCCAGCCTCTCTCCAGCCAGCAACACTCTCTTCAAGCATCTTGCCAGCGTGTAGCACAAGTGCATCAGACAAAGCWGGATACAGCTKCCCAATGGGGGAACCAAGGCTGGTTCCTTGTCCCAGTGCCCCAGGGTCAAAGGAATAGGCTGTGAAATAGGAAGGGGAGGGAGATGGTGCTGCCCAGGGGAGACCCAATTCCACTCTTTRCTCGGGAACAGGGATGGAAGTGTTCTCCCATTTTCCTGCACAAATGGAGCCCTCCTCTTTGCACTTCTCAGAGACTCCTCTTCTCTGAGCAGCCCAGAATCAGCAGGAGAAATAAGGTCATTGGGATGCACTTGCACCTGCAGCAGAGGGGCATGGAGGAAGGAGCCCTGCAGTGCTCCCCTGCTACCAGGACAAGCCAGACAAACTCTCCTCCCCCGTCACACTCCCCACTCATCTCCACACCCCCACAGGRCACTCTCCTCTCCCCCTCTCWCACTCCCACCCTCACTCACTCTCTCTTGCACCAGGGATTCCCARGACAGCCTCGGCTGCAACCTCGCAGTCCTTGTGCTGCTGCCACAGGCAGGTTCCTGGAAGGACACGGCCTCTTCCTCATGCCTCCCCACTGGCTGCTTGTCGCCATCCTGGCCCCACTGGGTAAGTAAGAGAGCTTGCTGCAACCTACAGAACCATCATTCCTGCTATGACTGCCCTCACTGCTCTCCCTGGCTTTGCACAAAATGCTACTGGGTCTGTTTTTCCCCTTTGCTCCCTCACTAAATCTTTACGGTATGGAGAAAATAGCCATATATTTGTGGAGGAAGAGATATATTTGGAAAGCCTCCCTTCCTCTCTCAACTCGGCTCCTGTGCCTCCCACATATATATTCTCCTTTTCTCCATTTCTCCTTGCAGGATGGGCCCTGAAACAGTCCCCTGATATAGTCAGCAGAGTGGGGCAGTCTGTCAAACTGAGCTGTTCCCAAATGGAGACTTCACATAGACAAATGTTCTGGTACAAACAGCCTGTGGAGAAGGATTCCAAGCTTGAGTTGGTTGTTTTAGCACTCAAAGATGTAAATGTACAGATTGAGAAGGATTTCAGTGATGGCCGCTTCAAGAGTAGTGGGATACAAACGGAAGGTCTCTCTCTATCAATAGAACCTGCTTCCCTCAATGACTCTGGCATATATTACTGTGCTGAAAGTGAGACACAGTGACTTMATGGCTGAGAGGGCTAAGCACAAATCTCTCGTTCACAGAAGCACCTTCCTTCTTCCTCATGCAAATCTGCATTTTTCCCTTTCTCTTCCATTCTCCATGGCTTGCAGTCATCAGTTCTTGTTGGAAATTATCCCTGTCATCTTCGTATTTGCTTATTCCCCATTTCACCACTTTCTTGTGTAGTGGCACTTTTTCCTCCCTGGTGTCTTGCTGTGGACTACTGCCTTACTGATCTTCAAGACCCTCCTTTCTTTCTTCAGGATGCTCACAGGAGCAGCAGCTCCTATGAGGAAAGCAAGGTGCTGCTTTAGAAGAGCTCTGCATGGTGCTCCCTTCATGTCTGTTCTTTGTTACCTGCTCTCCTTTCACCCTAGCTAATCTGCCAGCTCTTCTAGCCTCTSCTCATTTACTTCCCCAGATCTTTGTGTGTGATGAATTTTCACTCATTTGGGGGAGGCCACCTGAGGGTGCAGTGCAGAGGACAGAGGCACGGTGAATCTCCCCGGCCTGCAGGAAGAGCAGCAGGGAAGCCTCGTGGGAAAACAGAAGGAGATACACTATAGAGTGTTTTCAGCCCCTCATGGTCTCACCAGACCTGTTGTGCCAGAGAGGAAACCCACCTTGGATGAGGGTGTTCACAGGCARAGGCAGCAATCAGGGTCCTGGGCTGTGCTGAGTCCTATGCCTTTGGGTCCAAGCATGAGAAGTTGTATCAGAAGGTAAGGTAGAGTAGATTCCCCTCCCAACTCTCATCAGAGAAAGAGCTCACTGTGGAATATTGCTCTCCTTTGTGATATGGGCATGCTCGCGACTCTGCTGCACAGGGTAAGAAAAACTAACTGCAGTGGGATTCACTGGTCCCTGCTGCAGAGCTTCCTGCTTGGAAGATGTAGTTACCCGTATCTCAGAGGAAGAAAATGCAGGGAACTTAGCTGTGTTCTTTCTAACAGTTCTTCATTGCCCAGCAGTTTACACAGACAGACAAACTGTTCACACATTCATGGTCTCCTACTGGCCTGCCCAATGCCACATTGTCTCTTCCTAATTATGCAACTCTTTTTCACATACCTTGTAAGAAAGGTCCCTCTAAACTGACCATGCTCTGGAAGAAAGTGGCTTTTTTGCCTCATGGGTCCCCGATGGTTATTTATGGTCATGCCCCCCACCATGGGTAAGTGCACTCAGTGCTCCCATTGGCTCCTGTATCATTTCCATGATTTCTGCCCCAACTGCATGACCGTTACTGATATAGCTTCATTGCCTAAGGAATGCTGAAAATGAACAAACTCTGCAGGAATCCTCCACTCTCCTGCAGTGGCGCTTTTTTTTTTCCTCATGTGTATAAGTCTTTCCATAAAGGACACTAACTGACCCAAAATGTCTCTTGCCTGTTCCAGAGAGATGGAAGAGTCACCAACAGATCTGAAGAGTTGTCCTATCCTTCCTGGCACTGTG